TTGGGGATGTTGAACAACTTTTAAGATGTTTCATAGCCATCTTTACTTCTTCTTTTGAGAACTCTCTGTTCAGCTCCTTGGTCCATCTTTTAATTGGGTTGCTTCTTGTCTTGGTTCTCTGTTTTTTGAGTTCATTATAAATTCTGGTTATTAAACCTCTGTCAGATGTGTCGCTGGTGAAGATTTTCTCCCATTCTGTGGGGTTTCCGTTTGCTTCCTTGGTTGCCTCCTTTGATGTACAGAAGCTTTTTAGTTTTATGAAGTCCCATTTCTTAATTCTTGCCCTTGTTTCCTGAGCAATTGATGTCCTGTTTAGAAAATCCTTTCCTACGCCTATATCTTGTAGGTTTTTCCTAATGTTTTCTTCTAATAGTTTCAGAGTTTCAGGCTTTACATTGAGGTCTTTGAGACATGTGGAATTGACTTTTGTGCAAGGCAAAAGATAGGAGTTTAATTTCATTCTTCTACAAGTGGAGATCCAGTTTTGCCAGCACCATTTGCTGAACATGCTGTCTTTCCTCCAGTTAATGTTCTTGGCCCCTTTGTCAAATATCAGGTGGCTGAAATTGCATTTGCTCATATTTGGGTTTTCAGTTTTGTTCCATTCATCTATGGGTCTATTTTTGTGCCAGTACCATGTTGTTTTTATGACTATAGCTCTGTAATACAGCTTGAAATCTATTATAGTAATCCTCCCAGCATTGCTCTTAGTGCTCAGGGTTCTTTTAACTATCTGAGGTCTTTTGTGGTTCCATATGAATCTTAGGATAGTTTTTTCTAATTCTGTGAAAAATGTCATGGGAATTTTGATTGGCATTGCATTGAATCTATATATGACTTTTTGTAGGATGGTCATTTTCACAATATTAATTCTTCCAATGCATGGGAGGTTCTTCCATCTTCCAATGTCTTCCTCAATTTCTTTCCTTAAAGATTTAAAATTTTCACTGTAGAGCTCTTTAATGTCTTTGGTCAGGTTTACTCCGATATATATATGTATTGCAGCTATTGTGAATGGGAGTGTTTCCATGTGCTCTTTCTCTGATTGTTTGTTATTGGTATATAGAAAGGCTATAGACTTTTGTAGGTTAATTTTGTAATCTGCTACTTTACTGAATGTGTTCATAATTTCTAGGAGTTTTCGGGTGGAATTTTTGGCATCCCTTAGATATAATATATCATCTGCAAAAAGGGATAATTTGATCTCTTCTTTTCCAATTATTACTCCTTTAATTTCCTTCTCTTGCCTTATTGCTCTTGCAAGAGTTTCAAGTACTTTGTGAAAGA